GGAACCCTCATACATTGCTGAGGGACTGCAAATTGGTACAGGCACTATGGAAAACAATATGGAGGTTCTTCAAAAAACTAAGAATTGATCTACTTTATAATCCAGCAATCCCTCAACTGGGTATTTACCCCAAAGACTTGAAAACCCATATCCAAAAAGATATTTGCACACCAATGTTCATAGCATCATTTTTCGTGGTGGCCAGGACATGGAAGCAACAAAGTGTCCTACTATAGACGATTGGCTAAAGAAGCTGTGGTACATATGTACAATGGAATATTACTCAGCCATAAGAAGAGATGAAATACTGCCATTTGCGACAGCATGGATGGAACTCGAGCTAATCATGCTAAGTGGAATAAGCCAGATTGAAAAAATTGAAAAATCACATGATATCACTTATATATGGGATATAAACCTAAAAGCAACAAATGAGCAGGACAATCAAACAGAAACTCATGGATATGGACTATAGTCTAGTGGTTACCAGAGGACTATAGATTAGTGGTTACTAGTGGGTGGGAGAGGAGAGGAGAGGTAGATGGGGTTAAGGGAGTCAAATATAGGGTTTAGGGGTGGGTGAAGTGTGTAAATAGAATCAAATATATGGTAGGTGAAGGAAATTGGACTTTGGGTGGTAAACATACAATAGAATATATAGATGTCAAATTATAATGTACACCTGAAAATTATATAATTGTATTAACCAATGTTACCCCAATAAACTTAATTTAAAAAAATAAACTCAGAATTGATTAAAGACTTAAATTCAAGATCTGAAACCATAAAACTCCTAGAAGAAAACCTGCGCAGTAAATTCTTTGACGTAAGTCTGAGTAATGCATTTTTAGATATGTCTTCTTGAGCAAGGGAAACAAAAGAAAAAATAAACAAATGGGACCACATCAAACTAAAAAGATTTTGAACAGCAAAGGACACCATCAACAAAATAAAAAGACAAACACACTGAATGTAAAATGACATTCACCAGTGACACATCAGATAAGGGGTTAATATCCAAAATATATAAGTAATTCAATTACTTAACACTAAAAAAAGAAAAAAACCCACAATCAGTCCAATTAAAAAATAAGCAAGTCTATGGCCATGTCACCTTGAACAAGCCTGATCCCATCTGATCTCAGAAGCTAAGCAGGGTCAAGCCTGGTTAGTACTTGGATGGGAGACCACCTAGGAAGACCAGGGGCCATAGGCTATCATCAAAAAATCAGCAAACAAGTGCTGGTGAGGATCTAGAAAGAGGAAACGCTCGTGCACTGTTGGCGGGATTGTAAATTGGTGCAGCCATTATAGAAAATAGTATGAAGTTTCCTCAAAATATTCAAAACACAGCTGACATTTGAACCAGCAATTCCACTTCTGGGTATTTATCCAAAAAAAAAGGAAAACATTAATTTGAAAAGATAAATACACCCCTATGTTCATTGCAGTATTATTTACAATAGATAAGATATATATATGATATATATATGATATATATATGATATAATATATATATATATCATATATATACTATATATACAGTCAAATATTACTCAGCTATAAAAAAGAATGAAGTCTTGCCATTTGTGACAACATGGATGGACCTAAGAGCTATTATGCTAAGCGAAATAAGTCAGACAAGGAAAAATAAATACCATAAAATTCCATTTATATGTGGAATCTAAAAAAAAGCAAATGAAATAAAATATAAACAGACCTATAGATACAGAGAACAAACAGATGGTTGCCAAAGAGGAAGGTGTGGGGTGATGGGTGAAATATAATTAGTTAACTAATTAACTAATTAAAACATTCACTCCTAACAACTCTTTTGTGATATATTTCTCTAAGGCATGTATAAACCTAAACATATCAAATTACCTGAAAATGAGATGAGGTGCATAAAAGCTCTAGTACATAACAAATACCCATTTGAATTATTTTCTTCTTTAAGAAATGTATTAAATTGTTCATATAGTTTCTCTTTCCTTACTTGATCAGCCAAAGAAAATGCTGAAAACTCTAAGAGCCGGCTATTTCATGCTTTTACCCAAAGATCTCAGACATCTTAGAGGCCCCACCCTCTTCCATGTGACCGCCCAGAAGTGCACGCCTCTTGTCTTGTGGAAACCAAAGATAATGGGGGTGGTGTGACAGCCTGCTGCCGAGGCTGGGCCCCATCCTTGGGGTCAGACTGCATCTATCCACAAACAGCATCTCAGTACAAAAAAAAAAAAAAGGAGAGAGAGACATCTTGGAAAAGATAAAACTATGGAGACAGTAAAACAAACAAACAAACAAAAACCAGAGGTTGGGATGAACAGGTGGAGCACAGAGGATTTTCAGGGCAGTGAAACTACTCTGTGTGATACCATATGATACATACATGTCATTATATAATTGTCCAAACCCATAGAATGTATAACACACAGGGAACTCTAATCAAGCTATGAACTTTGGATGACTATGATGTGTCAATGTGAGTTCATTTTAAAAATGTACCACTCTGGTAGGAGATATGGATAAAAGGGGAGGCTGTGCATGTGTGGGGACAGGGGGCACATGGGAAATCTCTGTTCCTTCCTCTTATTTTTTTCTATGACCTTAAATCTGTTCTTTAAAAATATATATATATATTTTTTTTTAAAGTGGCCCATATCCATAATGATGGTGGAAATAATACACAGATTTTTATAGTTTGGTACATTTTTATTACATATTCTGTCTGTCCTCCTAAATGTTATATGTGATGTAATAGGAGACCCTGACAAATGAGTATTTTTTATTTTAGTAATGAGTGAGTGAATGGATGAACCTCATCAATTCTGTTTGATGACACACAACATTATCATAAAAAATATTAGTGTTATCAACCTAGCCATAATGAGAACTTGAAAGATGATTGTCAAAACTGTCACTCAACTTTTTAGCACTGCAAGACAGGCAAGTTTAACACACACACACACACACAACACAATTTCTTAAAGCTTTAATGGAGCACAAATTTAGGGAGAAAGCTAAGAACATGAGGGCTGAAATACCCCTAATCCAGACTACATGAGCAATTGGCACCCACATTTTTTGTTACTAGGGAAAAATTATGTCATTCAGTTCTCACTGTATATTATTTTTTAAAACTGCATTGTTTCAAACAGTGTAAAAAGTTCAAATAAATTAATTACATGCCACAGATATATAAATTTCACACTGTAGATAACTTCAAATTTTAATATTATGTGAATAAAATGTAAAAATAATTGGAGCAACCAGTTGCTAAGGGTACAGATAATATCAATATTATGTATTTCCCAGTTATTCAAAACTATTCAAAGCAACACAAACTTTATATGCTCAAACCAACCAGTGCTTACTTTAAATTCTTTCCCCTAGACTTCCTCTTGAATCCCCAGCATCAAAGATCCATCCTTCTTTTGCATGATCAGAACATCTAATTTACAAGCACTACCATAGAATATGAAAATTCACTGAACAGATGAAACTCATGTAAACCAGACAAGAATGTTGGGAGAATGTATGTGCAGCGAGCACTATGCCCCAATATTAAAAAAGAAAGGAGAGAGAGAGAGAGAGAGAGAGAGAAGGGAGGGAAGGGGAGAGGAGGGGAGGGGAAGGGAGTGGAGGGGAAATCTAAGAATCATATAAACTATTACATCAAAGGATTATCTACTGTAGATTTTGACTGATTTAGCTGGCAGAGCAACCTACTGAGTCATTGCCTTGTGTAGTTAGTCAGTTTCCATTTTCTCATGGACTCTGAAGGCAGAATGGTACCTCTTTACCACTAGTTCTCGATGCTTAAAAAAATGACTGTCAACAAGTATTTGTTGGATGATCAAATGGCTTTAGCCTCCTCATGCATAAGGAACTGAGGAGTCCTGCCTCTCCCTCACAGCTCCACTGGTTGCCCTCTGCACCTCATTCACTGGACACAGTGACCCTCCCATTAATGCTCTGTAAAATGCATTCATATCGCAAATTCCTTTTTACTTTTTACATTTTTACTGTGGTAAATACATATAACATAAAATTTGCTATTGTTCCCATTTTTGAGTGTACAATTCAGTGGCATTAGTTATACTCATGATATTGTGCAACCATCACCACTACTGATTTCTAAAACATTTCCATCATCTCTGTAACCAATAAGTGATAAATTCCTATCTCCAACCCTCAGCCCCCGGAAACTTCTAATTTACATACTGTCCCTATGAGTTTGACCATTCTCAATATTTCATACAAATAGAATCATGTATATTTGCCTTTTGTGTTTAGTTCACTTAGCTTCTACAATGCATCCTTGTAAAATATATCAGAACTTCATCCCTTTTGATAGCTGAAGTTTTATCCCATTGTACGAGATACTACTTCATACCTACTAGGATGGCTGCAATATTTTTCAGATGATAATAACCAGTGTTGGTGAGAATATGAAAAAATTAGAAGCCTTGTTCATTGCTTGGTGGGAATGTAAAATGGTGCTGCCAATGCAGACACAGTTTGGTGGTTCCTCTAAAATACAAACAGAAGCACCACATGCTAAAACTAAATTATATAAGGATTTAGTCTTTTAGAGTTGAATTGTAAATATCGACATGAACCGAATATCCCAATCTCGGTATCATATGGTGACAACCAGAAGACACACAGACTCATCTGATATACCAGGCTCCTTTGGGAATTTCCAATTCCGTCTTAAAGAAAAAAGCTTTAGGTAGGTCTGGAATATCTTTTGTCAGGAAACAAGATGCTTTCAAAATTTCAGGATGGTATGGAAAGAACAAAGAAGCCAGTTTGAAGAAGCTCTCACTGGAAAATCTGTGATAATTTGAGCAGGAAAGAGAGCAGTAACTAGAGCTATTGGGAACTCTGCTGAGTCTGTAAAATTCTGACTTCATCCTGCCTCTAAGAAAAAGAAAAGTTAATATAAAACATGCAAAGATAACCAATTAGGAAAGAAGAGGGTGCTGATATGTACAGTTATTTTTCTTTAAGTATATGTCAAAGTATAGCTGCATACTTTTCTCTGTATAAGGAGAGAGGGTGAAAAACAGGGAAAATGAGCAAATTGTACAGTTGATCCAAAACTAGGAACTGTATCAAGAGTAGAAATGTTTAGGAGCTCCAGAGGTTATATGCGATTGCCAGGAAGAAAGAAGTTCCAACTGTATTTTGTGAAATGGTGAATGAGATAAATGTTGTAGAGAAAAAAGCTGTTTGAGAAGAATCTTTCTCTTGCTTCCTGAGATATGAAACCTCAAGAATATCCTAGTGACTATAACATGTAATATAATTATAATATATATTTATTGCTGATTATAGTGTATTATCAGGTATGTACATATTTCCATAAAGCCAATTGACCAGATTTATATATAATAGCAATGGGACATTAGATTACATGAAGATAAACAAAAAAAATTGGAGACTAAATTATTTAGGAGAAAGTAAAAATTTTATATAAAAATCATAAATGTATAAAGTCTCATTGAGCAATAAGCAAAGAGCTTGAGTTGAATTGACTTGGAAAGTGACACTGGATCCTGTCCTCATCATAAATCCATCATCAGAATTATCCTTTAAACTTAGCTAGTAAGAAAGTAATTTTTTTTATCCTTCTGAGTCTTATAAAATTAATTTAATCTCAGGAAGTTATCAAAATAAGTACAGTGTAATATGACTGTAACCTTTGGAAAGTAAAGATCAAGCCTAAAGGTATTAAAAAAGTTAACTGAACATTTGGTGTTGGTGTTTTAAAATGTGTTTAAGTCCAGTAAGTTTTGTAATAGTTGTATTTGTGCATGTTTTGTATGCTGCTTTATTCTTCATGATTGCTAAAGAATCCATTGTATTAAATTTGTAATTGTATTTAAACTAAAATTGTAATGAATGCTTGAGAAAATTTAATTTACTTCATTTTACATGTAATTGTGGTGATACAAGCAATGCAAATTGTTGCAAAGTGAAATTGAAAATCTTATAAAGAAGCACAAGTTCATGAAGTCAATGACTGTAATGTAGGAGAACTGCTCAAAACACAGTAAATCATAGGTCATCAAACCATACCCACGGACCCAATGCTGTCTACCACTTGTTACTAAAAACTTTTATTGGCATGCAGCCACACCATTCAGTTGCGTATCATTTATGGTTGGTTTCATGCTACAAAAGCAGAGTTGAGTAGCTGTGACAGAA